GCTGATCTCTTCCTTCCTGTTTGCTTTTGATGGATGTTTAGGCTTAGACAGGTAACCTGGGAATGATTCATGTGGAATCAAAGGCCAAAGTTTATTGACACAGAACATTTCAGTGGAATATGAGTATATAATCCTCTAAAAAAAAAAAGATTTTGCTTTTTTCATCATTTCTAAATATTAAATCAACTACTATAAGTTTCAGTTGTAAAGGAATTTCTACTATACTCACCAAACTACATTTCCCTTTCTTGGTATAATGCTTTTAAACTAAACCATCAAAACATCTCTTTTAAAAAGTCATTAGGTAGTAACATTTTAGCTTTGGAAACTTGCATGAAGTTACTTAAAACATTGTAAATTTTTTCTCCGTCCTTGAAGTGTACCATATAAATATTGCATTTGATCTCTAACTTACACTTCGTAAATAATTTATTTTAAAAATATCCCTCCATAAGACTATCAGTTGCTGAGTTGTTCAGTTTTCGGGGAAAGCATTTATTTACTGCATGAGCCCAGGAAGGCTGGTAAAGACTTGGCTAAAAGCTCCACGTGGAGCAAATTATGGTAATTGTATTAATGCTTAAATCCACGATATTCAATGCTCAAATCTGCTAAGAGGTTTTGTGCTATGATGCCCACATCTTGATGGGCAATGAGGCGACTGGAAATGTTTAACACTTCTTAGGGAGGCTTCCGAGATTCATTGTTCATAGTTCCAAGAATGTCTGGGGAGAGCTTCCAGAGGAATTTCTGAAAGTCACAACCAAGAGTAAACACCCTTTTAAACATCTTCTTTGAATTCAGATTGAATCTCCAAGCTCAACTCACTAGAAATAAAAAATCAAAGGAAACATCGCACAATTAATTTTGATGAATGGATAGGTTTTAATACATGTATGGCAATATTCTGGTTAATGATATGTCTCCTTAGGACATCCATTAAAAATCCATTAACTTAACAGGCAAAATCTAATACAGTTACTCTGGAAATTTTCTGCTAGATTAACATTATGGACTTTTAATGAATATTTCTTGTAGGTATTGCTCTATTAGCAGAACTAAGACACTAATTAAACATGTGTCCTGTACAAGGCAGGAAAAAAAAGAGTATAAAAATGTTAAGATAATCAGAAAATAGGAATAGAAGTTGGACCCAAGATAACAAAGATGCTGCTAAAATCACCACATAGCATTACAGCTTTGAAAAGCAAAAAGCACTGACCTTCCAGTACCAGCCATCTCAATCTTTAAATTACTCACTTTCTAATCAAATAGTCATATAGCCATGAAAATATGCCATGTTCTGTGCTAGTATAGGAATATAAAGATAAATAAAAATCCTCAGGTCGAAGAGCTCACACTTCAGCATGACGTCAAGACATGGGAACAGGCAGTCAATTAACACCATAATAAAACTAAGTTCTTATACTACAGGAATATTCAAGGAAGAATAGCTAATTTCTTAGAGGCATATAAAATTTGAAAATCACTTAATTATGAAACTGAAGCCGCCATTTGTGTAACAGTAAATTATTAGTTTCTTCTAGGTTCTTCTACTGAGAGGGTTTCAACCCTGACTTATTAATTTGTTTTGAGCACAGTGGGACATGGTTACTAATCTGATTCTCATCTATAAAAATGGTAGCAGTGCTTTTGTCAGTGATTGTGAGAACTACATGAAACAAAGTATGTGAAAGCATATAGAATGGGAAAGAGGATAAGTCTATATTCACTGCATACTGTATGCATATAATAAACATCAGATGAAACCCAGTATACAAAGTGGTCAAAGCAAGATTTAGAGGCATACAAACATGTACTTGATTTCTGCTTCTACCACTTGCAACTCTGTAACCACTGGTTAGGCATGCTTTCCCTTTCTAAATCTTGGCTTCTTTAACTACAAAACAGAACAAATAAAAAATAATCCTGTTACACAGTTTTGAAAATTTAGAAAGATAATGACTATAATGAAGTCAGTTTGGGAAGCTATAAACTATTAATTTCAATTGCAACCATTAATTATCTTTCAAAGGCAAAACTATGGAAATACAGAAACATTATGAGACTTGTCTGAGTACACACTGTTAGTGCTAGAAGTCGAGCTACCCTAGTTTTCCATTCAATGTGTTAGATCAAACTTGTCTGCACTCCCTTAATGATAGGTCAAAGAGCCCTTCCCTCTTGTACTCAGTTCTCACAGTTCTTTATCAAGGCAGAAAGCTCATGGGGAACCTCAAGAACACTAGGTTGGAGACAAGAATTAGTGGTTCTGCTTTAGCACTAATCACCAGTGCATTAGTGCTTGGTGTTATGGACTAAATTGCAACCATAAAAATTCACATTGAAGCCTTAACTCCTGCTGTGACTGTATTAAGAGATAGGGCTTATGAGGAGATATTTAAAGTTAATGAGTTGTAAGTGTGGGACTCTGATATGATACAACTAGTGTTTTTATAAGAAGCTAACAGCAGAGAGCTATCGCCCTCTGTTCCCTCTACAGATATACAGAAGTTATGTGAGTACACAGCAAGACAGTGCTGCCTACAAGCCAAGAAAAGAAGCTTCAAAACAAGAATTGCCTTGTTGGCATCTTGATCTTGGACTTTCCAGCCTCCAGAACTGTGAGAAATAAATGCTTGTTTGAGTGAATCTATAGTATCTTGTAATAGCAATAAAAATCAACCAACACACGGAATATTTCTTAGGTGCAGTTTTTCTCTTTACTCTTACCAGTCTGTCTCATTTCAGTTATTATGTGTATACCGTACACATCCAGGCAGTAGATATCAACTAACACCTTTTATGCCAAGATCCTTAAGGGTAGGGAAAATATGGTCCTTGTACCCTAGAAGTCTTTAGTTTAGTGCCACTTTCCTGTTTGACTGCACAGTTTCTATGCTGAATGAGAAGCACCATTCAAACCCCTAGTCTGACTGGCAGACTTGACAAACCATAGACTGGACAGCTCCCCTGGAACCCAGAAAAGTAAAAAGTTTGATACTATTCCCCCGTTGTTGGCTCCAAATGATCTGAACATCCAGAATTTTAAAACCAACCACCACATAACTTAAAGGATTACCTTTCCCTTATGCTGTGAAGTTATAACTACATCACAGACTGAGAGTCCATCACACCCTACTCCCATCCAGGTATGAACATTTGTCCCAATCTAGCTCAGTGTGGCTTTGGGTGCTGAACATTGGACTGTTGCCTAATCCTACTGGAAGCCAGCTGTATAGCCATATTGGTTCCCTCAGTCCAGTGTATTCCAAGAAAGCAGTCTACTTTGGTGAAAGTATACAAAGACTCCAGTTCTAAAACTGACTCTATATCTTAATGGTGAGCAAGGAACAGAATTTCACTGTTCCGATCTGTAAAATGGGAATTGAGAAACAAATGGGTTTGTGAGGGCCAAATCATCTAACATACATAAATAATCTAGCAATGGGCCTAGAATCAAGCCAATGACTAATGACTGCTGCTTTACTTTCTTCCTCTCTTCCCCTGGTTTCAAGTTCTTCCCCTCCTCGACCAGGTCAAATTCTGAGATGGTTGCAACCGAGCCACAGAGAATCCAGCAGTGTTCTCCAGATTTAGCTATTAGGAGTTGAACACGTCATAGACAACTGAGCACTGTAGAGATGGAGGATGGCATCCTTCATGTTTCTAATCCATCTTGAACTTTAATAGAATAATCATAAGGATCCCACCAGAGAAAGGTAGTTTGAACTGCAATAACTTGCTCCATAGTTTAGTTATCAAAAGATGGTCAGAAGTAGCCAATACTACTAGCTGTTCACCCATATTTAACAGCACACTCCTGTGTTTCAGCTGGTATATGGATGAACACTTGGCCATCCAGTCAGGGACTACATATTCCAGCCACCCTTGGAGCCTAGTGGGTCCTTAAGACCAAGTGCTGGTCAATTGGATATGGTCAAAAATGCTATGGCCCATTTCCATGTTATGCTGCCTCCAAAAGAAAGCATTGGGATCCCTTTGGTCCTTTTTATTCTTTGTACTTTCTGGCTGGGAACTGTTAGGGAATGAGATAGCTAATTTGGAACCAAAGTTAGAGGACATGTTATAAAAATGGCAGAGCTACGCTAATAGTCACCTGTGTTCTATTCCACAACAGGGAAGTGACTTGCTATTTTGTTTAATTCACTATACTTTTAAATCTTATTATAATACTACCCTAGGCTGCATACCAAATGAAAGGTATATATCTCTACAGATTCAACTGTAATTGCTTTCCTAATGACAGCTTACTAGAATTATAAGTAGTAACTACAGGAAATAAACATCTTCCTGAGAAACGACCTTGTAAACCTTAACTTTTACAATGTCAGCTCTCATTATACGTACCTAGTATCTGAATTTTTTTCACTGGGAAAACACCTGCTTAGTCACTCATGCCCCTACCTCCCAGTCGGTGTCACATAAAAGCCTTAGGAATCACTATCTAATATTTCATTGTGTATTTTGTTCCTGATTCTTCTAATTTTTATCGTTAAAATTTTCTTCTATCCATATCCGTGTCCCCCAAATCTAATTCATGAAATTATTTTTCTAGTACTCACTGGAAGTGATCCATATGCATCCCCTTGATTATGTGATTCCCAGCTGTTCTATGCAAGTAATGTTCTCAGTTTAGCCCAATTCCTAATTTTGTATGTATTCAATGCACATTTTCAACGTATATATTTCCACTCAGGTTATTTAAGTCCTAAGACAAGGGCTATTCATCTGGCCTACCCAAAGTAACAAAAAAAAGAAAAATTAAAAAGAAAAACTGGTATCTTCATATACATGTGTGTGAACATATGTATAACACACACAGACACACACACACACACACAATCACTCCCCAGGCTTTTTATTCTTTTACCTATTTTGCTGTAATTATCTGCCACAAAATCGTTCAAACCAATCATCTTCCAGAAACTGTCATCCCAGCCCTTCTCTGCCGAGTATGTCCATTTGCACACCAGGGAGCACAGAGACCTAAGAAAATGGAGAAAAGGAAGAAACAATAGCATAAGCAAGGATTCATTCTTATTTTGCCAAATACTGGTCAGATATCCTCAAGGTACTGAAGAAAAAAAAATAAACCACAATAGGTAATTACATATTCTTGTTTAGATCAACAGCCCCCATGTCCACCTGTTAATGGATAGCACCTTCTTGAACTTTCAAAAGACTTTCAGAACCTCATTTGAATCTCAAACCAACTGTGTACCAAAATTTGTGTATTTATATCTGTGTTGCTATGACATTTGTGAGATAATTACAAATAAGACTATTTGGTAAAACTGAATTATTACACATTAGATATGATATCGGTAGTTGTGGCTCCTGCTCATTTACAGATAGAAACTAAAATATATAAGACACATGATAAGATGTTTAGATTTGCTTCAAAATAACATGAGAAGGGAAAGTGAGTGCCACTGTGATATGACAGGACTAGCCATGGGTGTTTGGTTGTTGGGGCTGAATGCGGGTTCATGGCTGTTCATTATAATACTCTGTATACTTTTGCACATGTTCAAACTTTTCTATAATAAAATAATTTTTAATAAGTGTCTTGTAGGGGTAAATAATATCAGCATTCCAATCTAAAGCAATATTTAATAGGAGAAAGACTTAAATGCTAGAAGGTGTTTTCTTTTCCAACTTTGTTTCCCATCAATTCGCCTATAAAAATCTATATTCCAGCAATAAAAAAATATTTACAGTTCTTTAAAAAAAAAAAATTCACCTTACTGAACACTTCTGTGCCTTCACCCTACCCAACTGTTTAGCGAATTTTTCAGATTTTCTTCACCCTGATAACTCAAACTCTAACTTTAACCTAGGCTGAGACTTGAGTGCAAGGTTGAGTACTCCTCTTTTGAGCTCACAGAGCAAGAGACATCTTGTATCATAGTCATTCTAATGCTGTATAATTAATTGTTTCTTTACACATCTATTGGTCCTACTGCCATCCAATCTGTTCTTCATGTCGTATCTAGAACAATCATCATACAATAAAACTTAAATATCGGCTCCTGATCGAAAACTTTCAACTGATCAGCACTAACTTCAGGACAAGGTACAGGGCTTAAAAAACCCTTTGTGCCCACCTCCAATTCCTTCTCTTGCCATCCCCACCCTTGCTTTCTCCATTCTGCAATACTGAATGATTTGAACTTCCCTGCAGTAGGTCTTGATTTCTCAGTTTCCTGTGCCTTGGACCCTTTGTTTCATTACTGCTGGAATGATCTTTGCTAGGATGTATCTAGCTTCTAGTTAGCCTTCACAGTGCAGCTCAGTTTGTTCTATTTCAGAAAGCCCTAATGGAAGGCGGGCTCAGTGCAAAGTCTCTTTAAGTGCTAATCTAAATGTATCTTATACTCACCATAATAGTTGCCTTTGCCTGTTCTCCATCTCACCCACTAAACCACAACTCCTTCAAGAAAGACTAGCCCTATTCTTCTCTGTCACCTAAATATGAATCAAATCAAAGTAACAAAGAATATGATTTTTCTACTTCATCACTGGTAAATCTGAGGAGGATTCACAGTTAAAAAAAATATTTCACAGGGACAATAGTCTAGGTGCATCTAGCTCAGTCAGTCACATTGATTCACTTTTTATTCACACATTCAAGATTTAGCACTTAGTTTACTTTGATGTTGGCATCACGCTATGCCTTATGGAACCAGTGATATGCAAAAGACCTGATCCTCTGCTCTCGCAGAAGCTGAAAGTTTTGGGGTGATAAAAAATGATCAATTACACCTAAAATCATATATTGATGCTCCCCAACTTATGTCCTGAAAAGCCCTTAAGTTGACAATATTGCAAGTCAAAAATGCACTCAATATACTTATCCTACTGACCATCATTAAGCTAGTCTGCCTTAAACATGCTCAGAGCACTACATCATTACCTTACAGTTAGGCAAAATCACCTAACACACAGACTATTTTATGATAAAGCATTGACTATTTCATGTAACTTATTGAATACTGTACTGAAAGTGAAAAACAGAATGGTTGTAGGGATATTCAAAGTACAGTTTCTACTGAACACATATCACAGTTGCCCCACAGAGGTGAAAAATCGTATTCGTATGAACAAATAATCATTAGTATTCTAAAAGAAGTAGAGGAAGAATTAAAAGCCTTTAGCAGAATAATCTGATGTAATCAGGCCCTGAGAAAGTATCAAGGAGGGCTCAGTCAAAGAGGTAACATCTATTGAGGCCTATACTGAAGGCAAAAAAATGTCATTTATCTTTAATGATTTTTTTCTAATGTGGCATAATCGGTGGCAGAACAGACTGAGCTGCATTAAACAGCACAGGGTAGCACCAATAGACACTTAACATACATGTACTAAACCATTCACCTTAATCAGTAGAGTTTTTTTTTTTTCCTATGTATGGTTGCCATTTATGTATATCCTTGTCTTGAAGAGTACACACAACAAGCTAACTCTTCATGGCACAATGTCCCAAATCCTAATTATTTTAGAGTGTCTGACAGATCACTGGACAGAGAAATGCAGGAAAAAAACAGTGTAGGTTTATTTCTAATAAACCCCAAGTGCCCCATTTATATTTCACACTGCTATGCTTCTGATCTGTTCCTTCCATCTCAATTGGTTATTTCCTTTCACCTATCTTTGTCTACTTGGTTAACTCCATGTCATCCCTGTGGTTCAGTTATAATGTCAGCTCCTCTGCTACATTATTATTCTCACTACCTCCAGTTAAACTCATGGGTCTCTTCTTTGAGCTATCACTGTGAGGTAGAAATATCACACTGTATTCGGTTATTGGAGAGGTCATGACATATTTTTCTGTTTTGTTTGTTTGTTTGTTTGTTTGTTTTGTTTTGTTTTGTTTTGTTTTGTTGTAGGGCACATGAGCTCACCAGAAAGAAACAGAAAGTGAGAATCCCCCCCCCCAAAAAAACAAAAAGGGAGAACCCCCCCCCCCCCGCAGGGGGAATGGCCACACTGCAATCCCTTTTCCTCTCTTTTCTCAGGATCTTGGGCACGCCGACACATGTGCCCAGTGTGAGTTTTAAGCCACTGGGTCCGGTACTCGAACCTCAGTTGACTACATGGGAGTCCAGCAACATAACCATTCTGCCATCAGCTGGTCCCCCTTTCTTTTTTTTAATGCAAAAGTGCATCATGACTTTTCCAATGGCTCATTAGTTCATAACAGCCGAGACAAGGTAAATTCAATGAGCCAAAAATCCTCATCCCTTCACTTATCTATATATCTCTTGCCTTATGAACTTCAAAAATATTTTCTTTTGCTATAGGATGCGTGTACTCACCAATGAGCCAGAGATACAGAAAGCAAGAAATCACTCCTCAGGGGTGATGACCACGCTGCAATCCCTTCTCCTCCATTCTCCTCTTGGGATTTTGGGTGTGCAAGCACACACACCCAGCATGAGTTTCAAGCTGTAGATCCAAGACTCAGGTCACAGTCTACCACTTCGGAGTCCAGTGTTTTAACCACTATGCCACCTGCTGGCCGCACCCTGTGAACTTCATAGGGTTGTGCCCTTTTCCTCCTGCCTCCCTGATCCCATCCCCTGTACTATCTCCTTGTCATCTCTAGACTTTGAATTCTGTCCTCTGACTGGATCTGGCCAAAAGAATGAAGCAGCAGAGGTGTTTCCATGGCAATCCTGAACTAAGCCTCAAGAGATCTGGCATGTTTCTGCTTGTTCTTTTGCACCCTTGGCATTGCCCTGAGAAAATCATCCTGGGGTAGCACACTAGTCACTAGTCCCCCTGAAGGATGAGAGATGCAGGAAGCAGATCCGGCCAAGCCGGTGGTCTTGGGTCAGGCAGCAAGCCCCCACTGAGTGAGAGCACAGCCTAAATCAGCCACCCATGAACCAAATATATGTATGTTGTATTAAACCACTGAGTAGTCATTGCAGTTTATCACAGAGCAGTGGTTAAGCAACTCAACATTTCACAGGATAACTAAGTTATTCTAAGTAGATATTTCCGCCAATATGAAAGAGACGGAAGTTTCAATCCTTACAAGTAAGTATAAATGACCAGAGAGTATACTCAGAAGAAAGATGACTGAATCCTACAAGTTTCATAGCTACAGATGCCTCTAGCAACTCCATCCTCGATCAGAAATATTCAAACACCTTTAGGGCTCATTTCATTTGGGCCTCTTTAAATCAGTCTGGTGGGTAATGTGAATGTGTAAAAGCATCAGAATTGGCAAGGTTTACACAGTGCATCTAAACCCACAGTTTCTCCAGAAATCTCCGGGAGGGGTAGAAGCATGAGACTTTATCTTGATAGGGCAAACTACCAGTAGTGGAACAAAAGTTTGCCTCTTCCTGAGGTTTCTATTAACACAAAGGTTGACATTTCCTGAAATGTGGACAATATTTAACCCTCCCAGGATAGCTATTCACCTTCAGGCAAGTTGTACCTTCCAGCCCATTGTGTCACCTGCCTTCCACCTCCCACCTCCGGGTAGGTTTGCAGGATTAGAGTTAGAGACAGAGGCCTTAGACAGGGCTGCACTGGCAAGTGGAATCGCTCCCAAGATCAACAGCCAGGGAACAATGATGCTTCTGGCAGCTCTAAGAGGAAGGCAGGGGCCACTCACTCTTAGCCAGTTTGTTCACTGCCAGCCAGAAGGCCAGGAGAGAAATTGCTGTATCTTTCTCTGCTTTCAGATTTGTTAATGCCAGAAGGACTCTAAAAACTTATATGGAAGTCAAAAGAAAATAAATCAATGAGGAGGGAAAACAGAAATAATTCCTAACTTTGTGGGACTAGTTCACCTGAGAGATCACAAAAAACATCTATTAGAGGTAGGTTTCACTAAAGCATAAATGATGAAAATACTGAAAGAATACATCAGTAATAAAAGTAATGAGAAATCAGAAGAACACAAAAAAGTCTTCAGAAAAACTAAAAACACTCACTTTAAATTTAAAATTTTCACAGAAGAACTAAAA